AGCTCTTCTGGAAGAACTGGATATATCGTTTCCGAATAAGCCAGCATATAATGGTTTGCCATATAGAGAGGGGAGCAAAGTTCTATGTAAATTCTTGAACCAAAATCCGGCTTTGTTGGTGTTTCAGTGTTGCTAGTGCATGAGGACAAGGTAAACGTTGATTTTAAGCACTTTACAGCTGCAAGTTTTACTGTGAAGGTTAACTGGGGCATTCGAACCATAGCCGCGCATGGTGAACTCTTGAGCATTGAGAGGATAGGCAAACAGTGCATTTGATAGTTTCATACGTTCTCACAATAATTTTTCAACTAACGGAACAAGGGTTGTGATAAAATTATCTAATTCGTACAACGCTCATGGAACCACCATGACAATGTCCTCTGGATTGCATCAAAAAGGGCAACAATTGGAAACTCTCTTTCTATTAACAACTTCGAATTTATGGACTCGGCTATGTTTGTGATCATGACGTCCAACCTTCTTCCAGGAAAGTAAGCTCTACTCCATCACTCGAAACCAACATCATGCTCAAGATACTTAGCAATTCTATCATCCTTGATTCGGATTTGCTTGAAGTGCTCCTTGAACTCATTAACTCGATAAGCTTTTGTTGCCATGTAGTATGTCTAAAGGAGGCCAACACACTTAAACTTTTGTTTTATGTTCTCGCCAAGGTGCCTTATACATAATCCGTGATGTGCTTGAGGGTAAATAGTGGCAATCCTCTTCTTTATAGAGTTATGCTTATAAGATATTATGCACAACTCGTCACTGTCAGACACTATTGTAAGTAATTGCTAGAAAAACCAAGTCCGCGACTTATTGTTCTCAGAGTCAACCACACTATGCAATGGGATATGTGTGATTCTCGTTGTCTTGTGCAGTGACCACCAACAATGTACCTCCATACTTTCCCGTTAAAAAACAACCATCAACAGCCAACACCTTTCTCATGTTTACAAAACCTCTTATAGTAGCACCGTAAGCAACAAAAAATATATTTAAACCTCATATTCTTGTCCCACTTCAAAGCCATCTTGCTACCTTGGTTTGTCAACTCAAGCATATAATGGTACGCTTCTAATATTGCCTACAGTGCTCTATCGCGCCCCTCACAAAGTCTTGTGCATGTTGTCTCTCTTTCCAGCATTTCCAGTAACTAACATTGCATCCCAACTCTATGCGCACAAGTTTCTGAATGTTCTTAGGAGATGGACCTTTCCCTTTAACAAACTGATTCTGACAAATTGTCCAATAACATTAGTGGAGGCTTGTCGATGCTCGCCTAAAATATATCCCAACCCACATGTGTGCTCACGGGTATATGTGCTAACAATAAATTTTTCGAACTCCACCAACCTTCTACAATAAACCCGCCACTTGCACTTTCGGTCACGACATGCAACCCTCACAACCGATGAATTAGACTTTTTGATGATGAACTCAAAATTATCTCTCACAGCAACAAGTTTTAGCTTCTTTACCACTTCCTCTTTGCTATCAAATAAATAACCTACGCGCAAGTCCGATCCATCAGTAAAAACGTGAGGTGGTTCACTACTACCCGCAATTGCCGCCTCTAAACCTGCATAAACGACCATAGTGTTCTCTTCCTTACAAACTACATCTTCTGCATAATTTGTATTTATAGGAATCTCTACATCTGCGAGAATATGTACAGGGTCCTCTTCGTCCACATTTTCATTCTATCCCACATGACCAACCTCTTCTATAGTGTCTTTCTCACCACTCAATTCACCACATAATCTTGATTTTTCAACAAAGAAATCAATGCCCTCGTAGTTAAAATTAAAACCAACATTCTTCCCACCCAAATCACCGCTTACTCTTGAACCAACTTCCAAAGCTTTATCTACAAGCGAACTCGTTAAAATCGACCTCAAACCATTACCACCCACATCAAGCATAAATAACTTCACATCTTCATCAGACATTAATATAACAGGGGGTACCTTAAAATTTGCAGGAGCTCTACTTAAAACATACTTCACAATTATATCACTACATGAGCAACTCAACCCACCTCTTCTAATGATTTCATCAATCAACTCATCAAAACTAACTTCTGTACTCACAGCAATTGTTTTAACTTGTTTGCTCTTCCCAATGCACTTCTAGCAACTTTCTTCCTTCACCCACTCACCAAAATATTCAACACCCAAAACCAATTGTCCCATGTCTAATAATAGTCAAATATCTACAATGCAAGAAAACAAAAATTATTAACCGATATATTAAGGGTTGAAAATTTTTTAAAAACATCTTCAGAGTCGCTTAAGCGATCTTATATCATATACGTGATCACTTAAGCGATTTGCTACCATATACAAGACTTATAGTAGATCGCTTAAGCGATCTTCTACCATATACTTGATTGCTTAAGCAATCTGCAATCTGCTGCATTATACCAGACATACCAGATCGCTTGAGCGATCCATCAAATCCATAACACATTTTCAGTCATCTCCACCTACAATTGGTGCTACCACCCCCAACTACCCACAATGCAAGAAAATATTCAACAAATTTCACTCATTTCAACTAGCATTACATCAAACACAACCCAACAACCTAAACAACTAAATCAAAATCATAACCCAAACTCAATCCATCATTAAATCTTTGTAAATCAAAATTTAAAATGCAAAGAGGAGATGCACATACCTGGATGAAATGTCAGGAGAAGGAGGAGGCAGATCTTTGGTGGAGAAGATGTTAATGACGAAGGAAGAAGAAAGTGTTAATGGCGGAGGAAGAAAAAGATGTAGAGGAAGGAGGAAGATAGAGAGGAAGAAGAAGATGTGGACGAAGCTTAGAAGAAACATCGACCAGGGGAGATGCGATAATGGCGGGAGGAAGAAGAATAGAGTGTTTGGGTTTGTTTGCAAGAATTTCAACTTTTTGAGGACATATTATAAATTTTAAAAGATTATAGAATACTTCAATAATCATAATTAACTACTAATCACATTTAATTAACGTTAATTAATAATAAAACTATTTACTTAACACTTTAAACTATATAGTATTTTAATTAAATTTAAATTTGATTTTGTCATTTAATAAAATCTCATTTGCAAGTCGTGAAAATGACACTCATCACCCATTATAGTAAGTTTAAATTAAACTGTCCCACTGTGGGCCATTATTAATTGATGTATGATTCTATTGGTTGTAAAGAGATGATTCATGAAATATCAATTCGGATAAGGGCGCCACCTGCCCTTGCGTTTCCTGCTGGAATACAAACGACAATTTAGGGTGAGATTTCGTGATATACTTTCCTCAAGTATGACGATATTTTATTTAGTTTTTGTAGTTTATTCAATAATGTTGAAGTGATAACTAATCTGACCAAATAAACGTTAATTATTTATTTCAATAAATTTATTTTAGAAATAATAAACGTGCATTAAGTAAGATTTCTGAATAAATAGTCAACTAAACTTGGGAAAAACGCTGATTAAAATTATCAATTTAAATGTTTTTAATAATATAATTATAAATCAGATAATTAAGTTTTTAGGTGCCTAGAAAATGCGACCTGAGAAACTCGTGATAAAATCGCTCTAATAGTCCAAATAACCAAAAAGCCAAAAGAGCACCTCGACAATCTCGCCCACCCAAACCACTACTGGTTTTGCTCTCTCTCTCTTTCTCTCTCTGCCTTTTTCCTTCTATAAATCTGCTCACTTCTTCTCAATCCTTTCCACTCGGAAAACAACACTCTATATCATCCAATCCATTATTTTCCTTCGAAATTTAGCGAAACATGGGTTACCTGCATCGGGTATGCATGGCTGCCACCGTCGCAGTGGTTCAAGGCCACACCGATCAAGGTTTTAAAATGAAGACTGGGCTTACATCTCTTCATTACACCAATAAAAGGTTATTCTCTACCAAGGACTCTTCGGATCTACGTCCACTTTCCGGGATGATCGGATCCGATATTTTGGGATTTGTCGGGAGTCGTGATTCACAACCCGATGAGTCTCTCCGAAAAGTCATGTACTTGAACTGCTGGGGCCAGGGCTGATGGATGAAGGTGATTAAACTTCAAAGTCTTTAAAGTAAACGCTTGCACAGGATGTCTAGTCAACTCTGGGTGACTCGATGACGAGTTTAAGAGACAACTAGAGACAGCTTGACTCGGAGTCGTGACTGAGTCGGAACAGTTGAGACCCTTGTTGAGATATTAGAAGATTAAATGTAGTTGAAGAGGGGTTGACTGCCATTTTCTTTTTTCAAATTGTACAGAAGATAAAACAATGTGTAATTATAACTGACTTATCAAAATATTAACTTCAGTTTCGAGTTCAGATATAAGCCGTTGCATTTCACTTTGCCCTTTATAATTGATTCCAGAATGAAGAAATCAAGTAAAAAATTAAAAGATTTAACATTAATAATCGTTATAACATTAAAGAAAAAACTTGTTATTTAATTTTGTCAATAAACCTCAAGAGCAAAACGATAATTAAGAGAATACGTATTCCTTATCAGTAAGGCCTCACTGTTTCCCAACATACTGATCGATATCGTATGAAAATACATGTTTATTGGCCTTAAGTTTTTTTTTGGTTTTTTGATGATAGCGAAGCTACAGATCTCTTTATTAATATATTAAAGAGTCTTTATGAACCATTAGACCACCAGAAGTAATTAGTTTATTGGTCAAATTGATTGTTCAGTTGCTTTAGAAATTCATTTTGTCAATTTTATACTTGTTTACCACTTTACCCAAAAAAATGCTTATATGTATTCTATCCTTCAAATCTAAACATTAATGTAATTTGTCATATATATTGATGATGTGATTATATGATCAATTATATATAATCCTACAACGATGTTGCATGAATAGAATATAAAAAATGAGATACAAATTTAAGATGCATATCAATAATCATTTTTTAAAAACAAATTTATAATAAGATCTGGCCTAGATGTACATATTCGCTGTTCTCAAGTTCATATCGTAGCGGGGTACACTAAACCCAAGGGCATTCCATATTTATGTATTGGACAAATCAAAGTTACATAAAATCAAACACCGGAAAATTACAACAGTATTTCAGTGACCAGTTGGAACATAGAATACAAGAAGAAAACCAAGAAAAAAGAATAGCCACCCTCTTAGCAAATATATTACATTAGTTAATATTACAGATGAGATGTAAAACAGTTAAAAGAAGAAAAAAAAAAAAAATAATTAATAAGGGGCGTTATCAAAAACAGCTCGCCCGAAACACAAACAATTCTGCAAAACTCAGGAAGGCACAGAAGGAATCTGATCATGCAGGTAAAGAAAAGCTCCTCTGGTTTGCAAGGTTCAGTGGTTTAATCTCCCATGAAGAAACCTGATGTGCTTCCTCAGGAGCAATAAAAGGCAAAGATATTTCACGGATCATCAAGTCACCACAAAAGGGGCATTCACTGGCTACTGCATCATCTAACTGTGATCGGAGCTGCCCATTAATCCAATAAATTGAATTAGTGGATTTCATTCATTAAGAGCACAAAACGGTCAGTAGTATGCACAGGGGCCTAATAAGGTGTTTTGTCAGCTGTGGGGTGGAATTCATCTCAAGGCCATAAAAATCAAGAAAAACGTAAGAGCAATCAATAATCTCATCTCCAAGTGGTTCAACTTTTCACATTTAACATTACATGTTTGCTAAGTTGCAAACCAGAGGAGAAAAAATATAAAAACAAACCTTGTCTGTTGGGGGCATGCTAGTAATGGAATCGTCAGTCAAGACACCATTCGAATCCTTCCTGGATTCGCAACCCAGTAGAGTTAACTGCTTCTGCAAATCCAGTATATACTCCGCCTGCATAAAGATCATACTTATTCTAAATGTATGGGCATTATCAAATTGAGAATATATATATTTAGTATATTATTATTTTAAAATACATAACATATTAAAATCATTAGCTTAAAACAGCAATGGCACCATTTGGAACTATTATTTGATAATTTCATTCTCAAGCTGGAATGTTCCCACAAATGTTAATAAGGGTAATGAGAATAAAGAAAAAAAAAAAAGGATATTCCAGCCAGAGCACTTCCACTTTGCAATCTATAATTAAATGTTATCACCATTACTTACTTGAGTTTCATTGGTGGAATGAGTTACATGCGCAATCAGGCAGTGTGCATGGAAGGCATGTCCACATGGAAAGACATAGAAAGGGGCCATTGGTCCTACCGATGTGTAACCTCGAGCCATTCGGTAATCTCCACCCACGGTCAAGATTTTACGCCTACAAATCTGAGGACTTAAAGGATTAAGACATCATAATCTAGATCTTGGCATGAAGTTAATTAAGGCATCATAATCTAGATCTTGGCATGAAGTTAACTAACAGATCTGATTAGCCGATGGTATCACAGAAAGAATAGTAAATTTCCAAAAAGAAAGCAACAAGAGTTTTATTTATAACCTTGAAAAAAAAAAAAAAAAAAAAAAAAAATAGGAGTCAAATTAACGAGGAAGCAAAAGATAGCTCCACAGTGGAAACTCAAACTCAGACAGGCTTGTTTCAATTTGATCAGCTGACAATGCACAGAAAGAACAATAAAAATCCAAAAAGAAAGCAAAACAGTTTCATTTAAAACCTTGGCAAAACAAAGATGAAACTTATTAGGACTCAAGTTAACAGGGAAGTGAATCATAGCTCCATAGTTAAACTCAAAAATCAGACAGGGTGGTTTTGAAACTTCAAGAGTTCAAGCAAACTAAATGGAGCAACTTCAAAGGTGAACAAAACAAGCATAATATTTATTAAGGTCCATTTGAACCATGATAAAAGCAAATGTTTTAAACAGAAGAGGAAGAGAAGCTTTTTTTATCGGACATCAAATGGGAACAAAATATCAGGTTGATCAATACCCCACAATCCTCGTCACGATCAATGACAGCATATCTTTGAGCAAGAGCACTGATATCATTTCTGATGTTGTCAGCTCCATGTGTTGCATCATTCATCTCCTGTTTGAGCTGTTCAATTTGCTTGTTGTAGTCCTCTAGTGATGAGCAAATTGCTTCCTACATATACATAAGAATGTTGATATATACAATTTGATGAAGGGAAAAACTTTAAAATGAACTGTTAAAACTAATTTCGGGGAGAAAGTGAGTAAATTTGGTTTTAATTCATGCTAGCATTATATAACTTGAGCTGAAAACTTGTCAAAAAGAATGAAACCAGCAATTTCACTGCCAGCAGAGCCACAGAGCTAAAAGTTATTCAAAAGTAAGAATTTCTCTTATGATAACATAACAATAAGACATAACTAATTGAAAAGCTACATGAATTCCCCTCCTGCTTATTGATTTAGTTTTGCATCATTTATAATCTCTCATTGTTTTATTCCTAAAAGATTTCTGAGCATGAAAAGAACACCAATAAGAGTGTGTGTGGTATTTCCATACATATATGAATTACAAGATTACTGAACAGTATAAGAAAATCCACAGTAATATGATCTTACTTTGAAGTCATCAATCAAGGCAAAGTCTGGAAAGAATGGTAATATATCCTCAATCTTTAATAGACCATCAGTTTCCTTGAGAAATGCTATTGCCTTCCGTATATTCTCCCTTTTAGCTCCCTTTTCCTGTTCAACCACATGCTTTGCAACCATAAGCCAAAGCTTCTTCCTTAATTCTTCATCATCTTCAACCTTGTCAGCTTCAGCCATAGCGAGCTCAGGGTCAACCTAGTAAATCAACAGAAGTGTGAGACTTCTATAGCAGAGAGTTTTAAGAGTTCTTCCAAAGATCCACTTTGAAAGAATTCTTGTAGAATATAGTTGAAGTAGCTTAATTCTAGCACCAATGAATTTGATATTTCGAAAAATTCAGATTGCATAATTGACAACGAATTTTAGATATCACCACAAAAATTACCCATGGAAACTGCCCCCAGAAGTTCCTGGGGAAAGTTTTTTTCCCAGTTCATCCCCCACACTCTTCCCATCCTCAATTGTGAGAAATAAAAAGAGAGAGAGAGGCCTTCAATGCATAAAAACTGAAACCAACAGATTAGGAAAAAATTCCTGAATTATCTATCTGGAACTGGAAGTATATGATTTGAACAACTCAAATTCATGTGTAGTTTTAAAGGAAAAATTCCTGCATTTATTACATAAGATACAAGCAAATAATACATGCTATGGAATAGCCAATATACAACAGCTACCAAAAACTGAAGTCCATCAATACAAATAAAACATAGTGGAAGAAGCGAAACATTAGAATAACATTGTCACCTGTAGAGCAAGTGCAACTGCTTCTTCATGCATAGACATCATGCTGTATATATGAACACAGGCACGCATTCGCTTTTCCTTCAGGCAAAGGCGCAGGGCATATTTGGGATCATAGAAGAACTCAGGTCCATTTTCTCGTCCTTTTCCAAATTTGCATTGTAGGAAACGCAAAAGGGTACTGTCATCTTCCTAATTATAATATCATAACGTACATTTAAAATTTGGTCCATGATAAATTGAAGAACATAAAATGCTATCAAACACTCAAACACAAAAAATGTTGCATAGCACTGCATCATTGTAATGCTCAGCTCAATTCTAAAATGACTTTTACAGTAATATTTATGAAAACATATATGCACTCATGTCACATGAAAAATCAAATATCTTTAGGAGGTCCTTGTTGAAACAATCAAATTACTTCTGGATATTCTAATAGTTAAGCATAGAAAGAACATAAACCATGGAACAGTATAAAGAACATAAACCATGGAACAGTATATAAATTGTCATGTTTCATATTTGCATCCATGACAAACAATTGCGAGACTTTTAGAAAGGAATTCAGAAAATACAGCATGCATAGTATTCAACAAATAGCAAGGATCCACTAAAAAAAAAAACAGAGAGAGAGAGAGAGAATCCAAAATACTAAAGTAAGCATCTCAACCTGCTTGGCGTACAAAGAAAGCAGCAAGTTGTGAACCCCAGGATCCTCATTATGCAAGCGATGGACGCAGAACTCTAGATATTTGATGACTTCATTGGTTTCATTCCTGCAATTTTATATGAGTTGCAAAAAAATAATTAAAAAGATAAAACAAAAAGAAATTCCTTATGTGTAGCTCCCTGTGCCTCACAATTCAAGATATGTAGCTCTCTATGCATCACAATGCAAGAGTTGTAACTTGAACACAGATGATTTTATTAGATTTAAAAGTTATATGAATAGATAGATTGTTTAAAGAGGATCATTTTGGTAATAAAAGTGTAACCAAAACTCGTCGGAGAATGTCCCAGTCACTGGATTCAGGCGGGTAATTGCCGGGTTTCTAACCTATAACCTATATATAGCACTAATTAATGTGGATATTATTAATTAATACTCTTAAACCATAGGTCAATTGGTATAATGATTCTTAAAATTAAATGTTAATATAATGATATACCTATATTTTATGATTACTATAATATATATAAAGGTAAATATGTAAAACATATCTATGGAAAAACATTAAATGTTAAGTGGAACCAAAATCAAATAAGTATTTAATAAAAAATCAATAATTCCCTAGTCTTACACTCTTATTTATGTTAATGAAACATATCAACTGTTTTTTATCTTTAAACAAAACATTTAACTATATGAGAGAGTTGAGATAAAGAAATGTATACTAGACAGTGGCATATAACTGATTAACCACACAAAAATAAAATAAAGATTACTTTGCATGAGGTTCACTTGAATAGCGCATCATAGCAGGAATCAGTTTCCTTGGGTTTAGGTTGTTAGTGGTCATCCATGACTCCACAGTTTCATATGCATCAAGCATGATAAGATCTGGAGCAAACTTGTACTGCAGATTAAGCAAATTATGATTAATTGCCTTCCAAGAATAATAGACTAAAATAATAGGTCGTGGTGAATGACAAACTGACAGGTCAGCTATATCATACAAGAAGGATGAAGATAAATTAGATGATTTGAAGATGATGGATGAAACTGAATGGCAACCAGCATGCAGAATGTGATGGGTAAAAGGTTCTATATTCCAAACTGCAGAGCTTGATTTGTACCTGAAGGTCTATAGGAACAGCAGGTTTTCTAAGCACTTCCAAAGCATTCTTTGCTTCTCCTTGCTGAAGGAAAGAAAATAAGTAAATAAATGAAGCAAACATTGACTAAAACATATATATACATACACACCCAAAAGAAAATTAAAATGGAGATGAAAAGCACCTGGATATAATGATGAACTACAATTTCATATTGCTCTTTCAAACTAGCAAAGTATACCAGTTCTTCAACTCTACCATAGCTACAAAAAAATTCCAAAATAAAAAACAAAATTGGATTACTTTAATCGAAAAAAGAAAATAAAGATGTATTGACATGCATAAGATTAAAATATTCATCTTTCTGTATATGCAATTGGAAGGTGTAAACACTGAAAGTGGTTAGAAAATGGATAAAACTCAAACTGACATATATTGCGTATTGCTGGATGGATTAACAAAGCAACAACTTACAAAATCCATGCCTCAGAATAAGCATAATATGATCTATTTTGTTAGGCCGGAAATCAAGGAAGTCATAGATACTAAGAATTGGAAAATGTCCAGTAATTCATTTGACAAATTCCTAAAACATTTATTGTCAGCATATTGGTCCAGAGGCAAACAATATATGGTGAACACTGTCATATTATAGCATAATTACCTTTCTAGAAGTTTCATTGTAGTTGCCTCATCCAATACATCCTTGCAGTCACTAAGGAAGGCACGAAACTCTTTAATAATTGATTGGTATTCTGAACTACGATTGTCCAAAGCAGTGTCATCTTCTAAGAGTAGCCGATTTATCTAAAAGATTAGAATATAAACCTAACATTAATATTACAAATTCTGACATATATATTACAGCCTTATAGCTTCTGTCAAAAATACATAAATTTGACAAACAAAGAAAATTTTAATACTTAAGCTTCTTTTCCTTTTCCTCCCTGCATCTCTTCCCCTCTCTTTTTAAGTGATTCAGGGCAATTTGTTTCATCTTGCCACGATAGCAAGTAAAAAGGGGAATAAAAAAGAAGATAGAAAAACATTCAACAAGAGGTAGCCAGGTTAGTCATCCAAGAGTTATGAATAGACAGAAACAAAAACCTTGTCCAAGTACAATTCAGTTGCCCATGTGGAAATCATTGTTATTTGGCATTTGTCATCCTTTGCAAGATTATCAAGCTTCCGTAATAAGAAAGTTCTCAAAGCATCCTGCAAGTAAGCAAAGCACAGTATAAGTTTGTAAATGTATGTGTCCGTATTCATATCAAAATAATTTAGTCAAAGTTCCCAAACATAAAATTCAATTCCATTTTCTTTGGGAGGCCAAACGCAATGTATGAAATGTACACCAGGAATTCAAATAAAATTTCAACAATTAAGAGTTTTATATAATTATGAAAATTACTGCAACTTTAAGAGTAAATTCTGCATGTATATTACAATAATGCTAATTAGTGAGCAATGACAAAAATAAGTAAACTAAGTCAAGGATGTTAATATACTAAGTTTATTTATGTATTTAATTATTTTCTGATAAGAAACTAAAGATTATGTATTAATGGATCCAACAAAGATCATACAAAAGCAGACCAAAACCATTTCCATATCCTACTCTAACTTTAGTCCAATAATGACATGAGGTTAAACAAAAATAACAAACAAATGGGCTCAAGATGGAAGAGGCATGAAAAATAACAAACAAATGGGCTCAAGACAGAAGGGGCATGAACAATTAGTAGTAGCAAAGCTGAGATAATTCATAATGCAGAAAAGTCAACTTGATAAATTTGTACTAAATCTTCAAAAAGCTAAAAACATGACTGATACTGTAATTACCTGTTCGCTTACGCTAATAAACTTCAGAGTGATCTCCTCAAAGGATAGGATATAGTTGATCTACAAAACACTTTCCAATAGTTACAAGGTTATCCTCTCGGGTCTTGATAGAAAAATGAAACCAACATTCTTTTTATCTGAAATTACCCTGAATTGGTCTCCCACATGCATACACAATCAGAAAAACACACATGCACCCAATATATCAACAAATAATGCCTCTGAGTTTTAATGGTATCATTGCTCAATGAATAGACAGGTGTTATTCATAGGTAATGTAATTTCTTATAAATATAGATAAACTTCAAAGAACAATCAAAAAAGGGAAAAATTGCCATATCATTATTAGCAGAAGATAACTCCACTCTGTTACATGATCAGTCTTCCTTGGAAAAAGCTTTAAGCAGTAGCTTGATCTGTTAAAAAAACAGTCCAACAGTTTATTTAAAGACTTCTGAAGATTTGATGGAACACAGAGTCACAGACAGATTTAGTAAGGAATGATAAGAGTGCCCAGGGAAGCATATTGTTCTCCATTAGAGACTAAAACCAACAATCAGCAACATATTTGCAGATAAAGGGCAAGGGAAGGAAAATATCATGCTTTATGATGATCAAGTCTTAATGGGAGAATATAAAAAAGTCGCACAAAATTATAGAGGATGTGGTTGTGATTCAGTAGGCCAAATCAGAGGGTGAGATCATACACCAGTGATGGGGTCATGTGGTTGCGCATTTGCACATTTGAGTGCCTCCACCTGTACAACTAAAACTTTATTTGATTTTGGCAGATTCTAGGCATCTATTTCTTAAATGGATATGATCAGGAGTTTGGAACTTCTTTAAGAATCATAACTGTGTCACAAGATTCTTAGAACTCAATGTTTTAAGACATATACAACCATATCCCAAAATGTTTTAGGGTGATTTCAGCAATATCAACTTCATCCCATAAGAAATCTAACAAGGATAATAGAAAAACAGGAATGTTAAAAGATACATAATAACTAATACACTGACATAATAAAGTATGAAATAGAGGTTTCACTTTTGCATAGAAAGATGCCGCTCTAAGAAAATCCTTGGCAGCGAATGCAGCTTCAGCCTGCAGCATATATTACTCTAGTTATACACTTACCACATAAAACAACTTTCCCTACACAAAAGTACATGCTATAAGTGAAAGTTAATATAATATTGTGAAAGAAGCAATGTTAATGTCTCCATATAGCCATTCAGTTTGTGACAATGAAGTTGTTAGGATCTCACATTGAGAGAGAAAAGGGGTGGACATGTGGTTTATAAGAGCTTGGGCACCTTCCCTTGGCAAGCCGGTTTTCCAAGGAGAGTTCTACCCAAGCCAATGAAAGACCCATTGCCCAGCCTAATTGTTGAGTTGTTGGATTAGGTTCCTATCAATTGGTATCAGAGTATGATCCTACGCCCATGTGGATGTCGCCTATGTGGCAGGCTGACCCATGGCAGGCTGACCTTGGGCCCGAGTTGCTACCCTATGAAAGGGCATGGAGGCCCGAGGGAAAGGGGATCCGCGTAGTCACCCAAGGAGTAAAGAGGCCGATGTGGACGTCGGTTGCAGAAGCGTGGTGGTATGTTAGGATCTCATATTGAGAGGGAAAAGGGGTGGACATGTGGTTTATAAGGGCTTGGGCATCCTCCCTTGGTAAGCCGATTTTCCAAGGAGAGTTCTACTCAAGTCCATGAAAGACCCACTACCCAACCCAATTGTTGAGTTGTTGGATTAGGTTCCTATCAGAGGTCAATTAGAGTATTAGACATACCTGAACCAAGTATACTTGGTCTCTTTGGAGTGGGTCACGACAATTTGCTAAAGCTGCAGCATACTCTTTCATATCCAAATAAACCTTCCACATATCTCGGCCTTCATCATTGACAGAAACCTAGAACATGTCTCAAACCCAGCCACAGAAAACAAATCACTAACCGGTGAAACAAATATTAAAATCAGGGAAGATGAAGCCCTCACAAAAGCAAACCTGAAAGATAGAGTTTTGGTCATATGCATAAAAAATTCCCGCAGTTGCATCACTACATAATCCAATGATACCCTTTGGCATTGACTCCGATGTTTGGTCAAACTGAAGTTCCTCTATGATTTGTTCACTGATTCTATTTACAACCTACGTAAATTTAAAGAGCACAGCATACAAGTTAAAAGCTGGGAAAATAAAAAAGGGAACCTGCATTACAAAGGAAATCTTACATAAACTCTAAATACTAACAAGTCCTAATTAAAAGGGAGCCAGCTAAGTTAAGTGCCTCACACTCAAAACCAACTATAGTCTAAAAACAAAACCCTTACCACCATTATATGTGTAGTAGTACTGAAAGACCCTATAAAAAATGGATATAATCAAAGTTAAAAGTATATCGTCAGTGTTCGCTGCAACACACCTTAACCTTATTCCCAAGAAGCAGCAGGAAATGAAATTCAGACACTGCCATAGAACTGGGTTTAACTGCTTCAGTACCTTCAGACAATTTTGAGTAGTTCAAAAGAGCCTTGTTCTCCACAAAATTTTCATCACCATTTGGAGAACTACCCAAATATTCCAAACAAATTAAGTTAGAAAAAATTTCATGATAGAAATGTATTTGATAGACATGAATAACCACTACGTTATATACACCAAGAATACATAATAAATTAATATTTTAAAAAGAGACAAATAGATGTTGCACCATTGAGAGTAGAAATTACAAATGTTTTCCAAAGAAAATAAATCACAATAATTTTTTGTTCCAATGACTAGCAGGAAGAAAAGATCAAGAATGAATTCCTTTACCTATGCTGTGCTCCAAAGTTTAAGCCACCATGATAGATACCTGCTCCAGAAAGCCATGCAAAGTGCACAGCTCTTCTTTGCTTGATAAAAAAATGCAACTCACTGAAGGAGAAGACCAAAATAACAGGGAAAACATCGTATTCAGAAAGATAAAAAATAGCATTTTGTAATGTGCTAGCCATTACCAAAGCATAAATGATAAATCAGATAAAAGAGGTTAAAAGTTTTACATAATAAATGATTTTTCACCCTCCAAATCGTTTCTGTTTCTTTATTAAATAACTAAAGTATTAGATAATGTTAACGTGAACAAAAGCACTTGCCTGTTTGGTATTTCACCAGGAAGTTCCATGAAATGCACAGCACGTTCTAAGTAGCTAGCAAATACAGTCTAGACATGCAATAAATTAGTAAGTATGTTGAGTGATCCAAGTCCAGCAATCCAGAGCTAAAAGATAACAGACCTAAACTTACATCAAGTGATCCAAATCCAGTGAAAGAATAAAGTCGTGTTGGAGTAACAGCCATCACATAATATCTAGTACCATTGCTTAAGCTAGCTGTTTCCATCTGAAGACAAGAACAAGACAAAGATGTTAACGCATTAACTATGGATGTATATGGATTAATTTCAAGTGAGAATAACATCATAGTTTCAGTTTCTAGAAGAGATGAAACATTTTCAACTAATCTATACTAGCAGATGAGATCCTCTGAAGAAACCAGTGGTCAATAGTCCATTCAACTGGATACATGAAACATGCTTGGAGAATTAAAAAAAAAAAAAGCAGATCGCATATTACAAGTTTGACCATTCAAATAAGAATTATAGTTTCTGCCTTAGTATCTAAACATGAAATTTGGAAACCTATGTTAGTCCATTGAAGGCTGAGGAAGAAGAACCAAGCGGCAATTCAGGCCCATTTCAGAAAATAAAATAACAAAAAAGAGAAAGAATACCTGCAAGCCCATAATAGCTTCTGGAAGCTCAGTTAACTCAAATAAAAATTTTATATACTTTTCCCTCTTGTCCTTCTCATCCACAGCCAGCTCATGAAATTGGCCATTGTCTGTACCAAGAATGGTTTCCTTCGTAGAAGCTGAATTTTGAAGAAATTAAACACATTAACAAGACCAAATATGATACACAAACCTTAGTTCAAAATAAACAACCGAGCAATTTTCCGAGAGATTAGTGAATTACCTTCAGTTATCTGTTGTCTGTTCCAGGCAACAGCATTTAGAGTAAGACCTTTCAATTTGCTTAAAATACGAGGCTTGCTCCACTTTGCATGAGTGTAGAAAGTTTCAGCGCCACCACTACCAAGGATGGTGGCAATACAGTGACTACCTCCAGGATCAACAAAAACTCTGTGGATAGATTGCTCCCCAGGTCGGCCCACAGAAAGATCAATATCTATATTTCAAATGTACAAGAAGAAATCAGACAAGGTGTCATCTTATGCAAGCACAATCAGTTCAAGTCCAGCTAATTCTAGGAGGTAGCTAGTAGAACTCAATATCAACTCAAAGTCACATTCAATTTAAATCCAAAACAGGTTAGCATTAGCTATATTCTAATTGACACATTGAAAGTTGCATCTGTACGAAAATACCTTTTAGTTGATCGCACTTCAAATCGTTCTTAATCTAAATGATCAAATTAAGTACTCTTCTCAGAAAGCTCAAGCTCTTCATTTTAGTTTTTCCATATTTACAGATAATGAGATCAACCTCAGAATTAGTGTACCAAACATATGATCAGCACGGTTCACATTCCGAAGAGGATTTCACACTTAGAAACTCTATTGAACACGTTGCTACATCATATCAGGAAATTATAGTAGCTTTCATTCACTTTTCACCATTATGACCAAACCAAAACCAGTCTTCTATCACCACAGACACGGAGTACTTCAAATTTTGCAAAAAATCCCATTTCACACGCAGTTCAACTGCGAAATGAAAGGTAAAAATTAGAAGAAGAAAATAGGTAAAAGAAGATACCATAAGATTCACCGGCGCCGAAATCGTGTCTAATAAGCCATCCTTTACTGGTTCCTAATACGATCACATCATTACCAGCTGACATACATGTAATGACACCTCGCCCCTTGGCCGCGTATCTTTCAAGAACATCTACCGAGAAAACTTGCCTCATCTGATCCATATTCAATTGGCCTATCAAATGTAGATAACACAACAGTCGAAATTCAAAATGAAATCCTACTCAAAGCTGCACTTGAACAGAAAAAAAAAAAATCAGTTCGCTGGACCGGAGATCAACCGGGAAAATTGCCTAAACGGCTAAACAGCTATTTTACTAAGGTTTCTTGGATTTTCTAATGAGTAAACGACTTTTTACCAAACCAAGGTTTGGCCTAATCACACTTCCAACCCAAAAAATTCAAAACACAACTTTATTACCCAAAATTAAAAATCGTCCGTTAAATTTAACGACAAAAGGGCATAATAGTCATTTTTGCTAACCTGAATTGATCTTCTCTTTCCTTATCTCTTTTTACACGCACAAATCACCTTCAATTTTTTTTTTTCTCCACATTCAATACAAACAAATATCTAATATAACCAAACAAATACTGTAGATCCACCATGAATTTCAATATAAAACAAACAATCCACAAGCATCTACAATTGAAATATTAGACCCGTAAGTCATAACCACTCACAAAATTGATTTTGGGTTTTATAAGGGTAAATTGATTTGGGTTGTGTACTACGAGGGGTTGTGGCTTAGAGCAGATGAGGAAGAAGAAGAGAACGGGTTGGAGGTTAAGGTTTGGGTTTTTTATATTAATTTTAATATTTTACTTTTCCTTTATGTTTTTGTTTTTAATATTAATTTATTTAATGATAATTTATAAAGGTGAAAGAGGTATTTCAATAGTCAAATCCAATCAAATGGAAATTTTAATGGACAGAGACTAACACTGGGTAGTAAAAATGTATTTTGGAACTTTTTGGGTGAAAAGATATTAGACCAAACCTTGGGTGGGAAAAAGTGTTTAACTCTTTTCTAATAAACTGCCAAAACGGTCGTCGTTTAACTTCCTCTGAGAAACGCACTGTCTCGTGTCTTACCTTTTAATTAAAATATTAATACAGAGTGTTCTTCTTTACCACTAATTGTGAGTATAATAGTGAGTTAAATTCATACCTAAAGATGTAACTTTTAAAGATGTAATGTCAATGGTAAAACATGTAAAAATGATATTTAAGGAGTATGCTATGGTGTTGTGCCGTCTGCCAATCCCATTTATTATTACTATTATTATTATTATTATTATTATTATAGGGTTATCAAATTTTAAACCTAAAGGGTTGAGTTGGACTACTAATATAGTAATAGACCATTATTTTGCCCATTTCTTAATATCAGCCGTCAATCTATAATACTTGTGAGAATTTGTTTGAGCTTATTAATGCTAATCTACTTTGTTTAGAGGTTTTTTTCTTAAAAAAAATAAATAAAAAACCTTAAATCCATTTAGTACCCCGAATGTTTGTGAAATTTTAGGTCCAGAGTTTTGCCATATGACACAACACTACCCCACCAGTTAGTTTTACAATGTGCCTTTATTCCAAATGAAAGACAATAAGTTTTGAAAACATCAGGGTACTAATGGATTTAATCCATTATAACAATTGCACAAAATCATCCGTACTGACTATTGAATCATTTGGTTTCTTCTTTAAGTTATGATTTTGAATATGGGCTGGGGCTGAAGCCCATATCAAGCTCTAGAACGCTCCCTCCATGGACCCCATCCGTTAATAACAACACGACCGATTTTGAGTCCAAAATTAATTTTTCACTATCTAACCTTTAAATCAAATCGGAGCGTCTATAGGAGCCGTTTAGCAACAAACGGCCGAGATTTCACTAACACCCTAACGTCAACTTTTCCCAACGGTCAAATATCTTGTTACATTCAAATGTTCTCTGCTAAAGATTTTCTCTCTCAAGTTTGTTCTCTTCCCTTTCACTCAAAAGACCTTCACTAGTTCTTTCACTAAAAGAAGCCATTGATTCTAAAATTTGCTTGAAATTAGCGCACAAAATGAGTGTTCTTCAATGCCCAGATACGCTTAATGGACAAGAGCTTCAGATATGGAACAATGCGGCCTTTGACAATGGTGAATCTGAAGACTCTACAGCAATTAAGGGTTCATGGTCTAATTTGCAATCGGTGTACGTGAATCAGTCTCTTGAATCGGACTGCAGCAAAGAGAACCTGAGTCCTGGCTTGGCGAAATCTCCTGTTTCTTCTTATCTTAAATCTTCTGTGCTCTTTAAGCCTCTTCAAATGAATAGTTCCATCAAGAACTCCCAAACGAAGCCAGTGAAGAGTGTTTCTAAAATTATGGGATCAAAGATTGGAGTTGAAGAAGAAGAAGAGGAAAAGCGCGATGAGAGAAAGATTGATATGGAAATTGAGGAGATTGAAAAGGAGATCAGCCGCTTATCATCAAGGCTCCACGTTCTTCGTCTTGAAAAGATTGAGTTTAAATCGAAGGCTATTGAAAAGCGTGGAAGAATCGTGCCGGCAAAATTCATGGAGCAGAAACAGAGTTTCAAGAATCTAGAGACCATAAAAAAGAGTGATGAAAACTTGCTTTCAAGCGCTAAATCAAAGTTTAATCGAAGAGGAGTAAGTTTAGGTCCCGCTGAGATTTTCTCTGTAGCCAAATCAAGACAATCTTTGGGCAAGCCAGAGATTATTACTCCTGTTCAATCAATACAAAGTCGCCGCAAATCTTGTTTCTGGAAGTTGCAGGAAATCGATGAATTGAAGGTGACAAAAGAGAGAGGAAAGAGCTCGAGTCTTAGCCCAAAATCACGCAAAACGGCAGCGTCCAAGATTCAGCCTCCAAAACAAGCTATGACAACTGTAGGGTCCAAAAAGAATGTGAAGAGAGACGATGGTGTGCTTTCACTTATTCAGCCAAAGAAGCTATTCAGAGATGGAGAAAAATCAGCTGCAAGTAAGAAGCCACTGAAACCTGGAAGAGTAGTTGCTAGCCGTTATAATCAGATTACAAATGATGCTCGTAAAAGGTCTTTAGAGAATGGTAAAGAAGAAGAGAATAACAGGTGTGATAAGCGGCGTGTTTCGCGTGAGAATGTGGTGAATTTGGGCCCAAAAACTGAGACTAGAGCGAAGAAGAAGTGGGAAATTCCTAGTGAGGTGGTGGTTTATAAGGGATCATCTCCTCCTTCCATTTCGAAAATGGGTGATGAATTACCGAAGATCAAGACCGTTCAATGTGTTGATCAGAGTCCAAGGGATTCTGGGGCAGCCAAGAGAGTGGCTGAATTGGCTGGGAGGAAATCCTACTTTTTTGCTGCTGATAAGGAGGTGACAGAGGAGGAGGGTTCTGTTTGTCAGGCTTTAAGTTTTGATGAAGATGGTTTTGAGGAATTTTAACATTCTTTTGTAAGTTTAGTTTCAACTATGATTGTTAGCCATAACTATTGTTATGGTCTTTGGATGGTTTTCTTTTGCTTTCTGTGAAATGGGATATAAGGTTCTTCTTGTATTAAGCCTTACTGGTTCTTTTAATGCAATAATGTGATAATGATAAGCTTTGCTCTTGCTTTCTAATGATAACTACTGTCCCTTATGTGATATAAGTTTACTGTTTGGAGTTTTTAAGTTTAAATCTTGAACTAGAGATCTTGTAATGTTAGGCTGCATTTGACTTCAATCTGATTCTGGGTTAAAGTAATAGTTTCTGGGAGAGGAATAATAAGGGGTGGTTAAGCATGTAATGTCTCTATTATGCTCCTAGAGGATAAGCTTTTTCTCTTCTTCTCTATTGTTAAGATTGCATTACATTGTTGTAGAACCATAATTTTATTACTTGTTAGGCAAAACGGAACCAACTGGCAATCATGCAATTCAATTTATTTATGTGAGGCAGGCCCTACCTCGCATTTTTAACTTAAAAGAAATGCCACAAATAATTATGCTTTTAGTTTTTCTTCTTCTCTATATTTTATCGGTAGATTTTCAACACAATGAACAGCAAAAAGTCATATTATAATTCATTGTACCGTTTTCGTTTGGTTAGACTTCCTTAATTTTTGTAAAGCTCTTATGATCTGGTAATCAATTTGCATGATGTTTTGCCAATATAAGATCTTAAATCTCATTGTAGGGTTTTACCGTTTTAGTGTTAAATCATAATTGATTGCCAAATATCACATGCCTTTCCAGGGTCAAAAGTGGCCTCTGCTTTTGTTGGCGGAAAGAAAGGGAGCTTATAAACGAAAATAAAAAACTATTCAGGACACTCGGACAGAGAAGAAAGAACGATAAGTTTAACTGCAGAATAGTGCTGAAAACAATTGAGGAAACTTCATTTTGAATTTGGTATTTGAACTGCATTTTGTTTTCGAGAATTATGTGATTTTTCTTCTTATTTTGTTGCAGTAGTTCAGTTAGGTGACCGTGAAGAAGTCCTATATGTACAAGTCATGCTTATGCCTTTCAGATCATATTTTACAGAAACTTCTTCCTACCTTTAGACAAGAAAAATTATGCCAGATAGTGCTCAAGCACCTTTTTCGTAATACTCAAAGCAATCTTGTTGAAGGCATTATCACTTATCCAGGAAATTTCCTGGTCAATTTTTGCATAAATCATCTCCATATGCCTTCTTCATGTTCCCAACTCCTGTAGTTAGATTAATAAGTAAACATAGCTCATTCCAAATTTGGCTGACTGCATTGAATAAAAATTTCAGTCACCGGGATTAGTCATAATACATTGAAAGCCAAGAGTTGGTTCTTCCTTGAAAAAGGTCGATGTTACACTGAAAATGGTAGTACAATTTAACATGACCAGAATGCTTGCTGCTGTGACTTCCTGGCAATTGACTTGAAAGTACTAGAGGTATTAGCTGCTACCGGTAAACTATGCATGACTATTTCTGCTAAAACCTTTTCATTTTTCTTCTGTTTTTTAAGTGGTTTACCATGCTAGTGAATGCTGCTGCTAATGTATATTAAAGTAGAATGTGACTCTTTAAGCCAGAAAGCTTATGAAGACAACATTCTAATAACATTTGTGCTTAATGTAGAGAGCCAGTGAGACGAAAGTTGCATCAGGGACTATAATATTAAAAGCAAATTTTGAGGCTGAATACTGAAATACCAGTTAAAAAGGCTAAAGGAAAAGGTTAGCTTCAAATTCAATGTCAAAGTTAACTTTACATGAATTTCAACAACATAAATATGGCTAATTTTGTAAGGAAAATGCATTAGAAAGAATTTAGGAGCTTTTCATAACCGTTATAAAGGATATTTTGTTTTAATCGGGTTGATTGTCAAGTGAAAAGATTTTTTATTATAAATGTAT